AACTGTCCCTGGCCTCTTCGACTTCAACTGAAAGTCTTAATCACACCCTCACAGAGAGCCAATAGCAGATTCCAGGCTCTGCCTCCCCGCCCCCACTTTACCCTCCGAAGGCACTGCAGGTGGCTCCAGCTGTCCCCTGTGTGGAACCCCCCAGCCACCCTGCAGAAATGAGGCCGCTCCCCCCTCTGCACAGCCCTCATCAGGGGCCTCTCTCACTCAGTCGCAGGTTCTGGTGACTTAGGAAGAAGAGATGCCTTCCTTCCCCAACACCCCCAACCCATGCTGAAGCTGGGCTACTATCTCCCCAATTCCCGAGACTCCAGGTCTGAGGATCTGAGGAAGGTGAGGCAGATGCTGGCAAGCAAACCACGACATGCGGTACAGATGGCAGGATACTTAGGGACAGGATGTCTCCTGCCACCTAAGGTGGGTTAGAACTAGGGCTTAGAGGGCTGGGCTCTGGATTTGACAGGCGGGGCCCACATCCACTCAACATGGAGGTGTGGCCTGGAGAGGACTGGTAAGAGCTGGACACAGTGAGGGGCGGCGTGCAGGAGTTCAGAAGCCCGGGGAGAACTGAGCGGTGGAGCAGGACCTCCTGCTTCCAGGACAAACGCGGGGTGAGCGTGCAGGGAAAGGAGGAAGGAAGGAAGGGCTGGGGGGAGCTGAGGCAGCGCTTGAATGGCGGGGACGGAGTTCAAGGTCATCCTCGGCAAGCTCATTCACAGCAAGGTCAAGCTCGGCCTGGGCAACATGAGACCCTGCCTAAAAATAATAACGATCAAAAGGAAAACTAACGGAGCACAGGAGACGACCGACTCCGTAGGTTAGCTGGCTCGGTGGCTGAGCAGGGGCTAGGCGCCACCCAGTGGGCAAAACAGAGAAAACGGCGACAGGGCAGAGACTGGAAAAGGCTCTGTCCCTGCCAGGCTGACGCCTTTTGCTTAGTTGAAATTTGCCATTTGATAGCGGAATAATTGTTTTCTGAGATAGGATCTCAGCACATTTCTCTGGATGGCCTGGAACTTTCTGTGTAGAGTAGGCTGGCCTCCCGTTCCCACTGGGCTGGAATACATTCTCAGTGAAGGGCTGGGATATTAACAGTGTCCGGTTTATGTTCATGACCCGTTGCTTGATTTCCGTCTATGTTACGCCATGGAAATTATGCCAAATGACAGGGCAGACTCTAGTAATTTCTGTGCTCACACTGGACAGGAAGCTTTCAAAACAACATGTAACAGCAACACACTTGGCCCAAGAGCTGCCAGAGCCAGGCAGTGATGGTTCCAAGTGAGATGACAGGCTTGAGGACAAGGAGAGTCCTAAAATGGAAGTTCACCAAGAGCCGGGGAGAACAACCTGGCCTCGGGAGAAGGTGCCGAGGAAGCTCAGCGCGGCGCTTCTCATTTAGCAAACGGGAGAGCTGAAAAATCTGGAGAAGCGGGTGCCTGGCGAGCTGACCGGAAACTTGACAGTTGTCCATCAGCCAGACACGGTGGCGCACGCCTGTGATTCAGGCACTTGGGGAGGCAGGCAGATTTCTGTAAGTTCAAGGATAGCTTGGTCTGCAAAGTCCAGGACAGCCAGGGCTACACAGAGAAACCGTTTTGAAAAAAAAAAAAAAAAAAATTGTCAATCTCAATTCTACCCACCACCAATAATTTCTTCAATTGGGTTCTGAGGAGCAATGAAACGTGAATTTTATGGCTAGCAAGATGGCTGCCACCACACCTGAGTTGGTTCCCCACAACTCACTTGGTGGGAAGAGGTCTAACTCGTGCAGGTGTCCCCTGACCTCCACACGTGTGCCGGGGCAGGTGTGCCAACATACATGCACACTCAAACACACACAATGAGTGACTTTTAAAAATTGTAAAGGAAGATGGTGCATGCCAACCAGCAACGAGCGGCTTACTAGTTGGACCAAAAGGCTCTGAAGGACTTTCCAAAGCCAAACTTGCACCGAAAAGGTCACAGACAGTTTGGAGTCTGCTATCAAGTTCTGCCTGGGAAGCACACTCCAGAAGACCCACTGCACACAGCAATGCCTGCAGATGGCACTGAGCGATGGAAAGGGCCCAGTTCTCCACATCATGCCACAGGTCATACAACCATTGCCAAAAAGTTGAGCGGTTACCGGGCTTCAAAGTTTTGTTTTCTGAGACAGGGGTTCTCTGTGTAGCCTTGGCTGTCCTGGACTTGCTGTGTAGACCAGGCTGGTCCCAGCAACCCTGCTTCTGCCTCTGCCTCACTGAGTGCCAGGACCACAGGCGTGCGCCACCATGCCCGGCCAGGCTTCCAAGTTTTGTCTTAGCCCTGCACCTTCACCAACCGACTGCCAGCCATTTTTTGTTGCTAAGCCACCTCAGCAACTTTTTGTAGAGAAAAGCTTCCATGTCCAGCAGAAAGCCTGTTGAATCCTGAATATACATAATATAGGAATACAGGAATAAACACTTAGTTTGTTCTTGGCAAACAAAACAGCGGTAACAAAAATGGCTTGGTTATAGCAGCTTGGTTCCAGCTTCACAAGAGCCATTGGGTGCCCTCCTGTGACCTCCTCAGGCACTGCACTTCCAGTCACACACACAACCAAAAACTAAAGCAGGGCTTTAGTTTCCTTGTGTTGTGGAAACATGACTGAAAACAAGTTCTTGGAAGAATGGTTTGTCTTACCGAAGCCAGAGCAAGAACCTGAAGCAGAAAACCTGGAGGAATGCTCCTTACTGGCTTGTTCAGCTAGCTTTCATTTTTCAAACTTAAAAAAAAAGAACTGCCTGCCCCTGCCTCCCAAATGCCACCACATTCAGTTCTCCAGCTTTTTAAAAAGATTAGGTAGACAGTGTTCTGCCTGCATGTACGCCTCCAGGCCAGAAGAGGGCACCAGATCCCATTCTTGATGGTTGTGAGCCACCATTTGCATGTTGGGAGCTGAACTCAGGACCTTTGGAAGAGCAGCCAGAGCCTCTGAGCCATCTCTCCAGCCCCTCCAGCTCTCTTATACAGTCCAGGATCAACTGCCCAGGGATGGCACTTTTCAGTGGGCAGAGCTTCCTTTATCAATTAGCAATTGAGAATATAGCTCACAGAGATGACCATAGGCAATCTGAAGGCAATTATTCAGCTAAGGCTCCCTCTTTCCATGGTGGTTCTAAGCTTTGTGACAAGATGACAGACGAAACTGACACTTCCCCCGTCAATGGGGTGCATGCAGGCATCACTCTGAACCAGAACTTTCCCTTTGTCCCTAAGATCTCATGGTAGCCCGAACCTAAATCTTTAGCATGCACTTGCCTAGTGCTCAAAATGCCGGTACCCACCACCCCTGGTTTACATGCTGCTGGGACTGAACACGGGACTTTGTAACTGAGCTACATTTCCCAACCCCCTCCTTTTTTCTTTTGGATATCAGAGGCGGGGCTTTTCTCTGTAGCCCTGGCTGTCCTGGACCAGTCAGTCTGTAGGCCAGTTTGGCCCTGAAGTCACAGCGATACACTTGTCTCTGCCTCCCTGAGTGTTGGGATTAAAAGCATGTGGCACCATTGCCCGGCTGCACAGCTTTAAAAAAAAAAAAAAAGTTCTAAGTTTTGAAAATTTCATATATGTAAAAATAAAAATCTTGACCCTACCCACCTCTAGATCCCCTGCTCTGGACATCCCTAACACTTCCTCCTCTTCCCACCTCCTTCATTTCCTTTATTACTAAAGATTTATTTATTCATACAATGTTCTGTCTGCGTGTATAGCTGCATGCCAGAAGAGGGCGAGAGATCTCACTATAAATGGTGTGAGCCACCACGTGGTTGCTGGGACTCAAACTCAGGATTTTTGGAAGGGTAGCCATTGCTTTTCACCTCTGAGCCATCTCTCCTGCCTCCCCTTTTTAGTTATTTTTTAATTGAGTCCAGTTAGTGCTGCCTGGCTGTTCTTGCTGACCCAACAGCTACAGAAACTAGAGCTAAGGCCCTCCTGCTGTTTCCTCCGTGTACTAACACACCTGGCTCCTCTCTGAGATAGTGTCATGGAACGTGGGTTAGCCTCTGAACAACTTGATTTCACTGTGTGGCTAAGGGCTATTTGTCTGGCTTCAGATGGGTAAAACAAAGTAACTTTGAAGAACAGCCAAAGGAAGAATGAAAACTCTTGAGCAGGCAGGGATCAGTCATAAATGCTCCAAATGAAAGGATAAACAGATGCAAATACTCCCTTGGCATTCATGGGTTGTTTACTTAGAGTCAGCATCCTAGACACCATTTCTTCTGTGTCATACAAGTCAACACATGATGGAACCTGGAAAGCTCTGCACAGTGCGAGACTCGCTGTCCCCAGTTCCAGAGCCCTTCATGGCTGTTTCCATTGAGCGCCTTTTCTCCCTGTCACCGCCCACCCTACACACCCACGAAGAATCAGCTCATCACTACAGGGTTGCTCCGTGGAGCCCTGGCTGTCCCGGACCTCACTCTGTAGCCCAGGCTGGCAGAGATCCGCCTGCCTCTGCCTCCTAAGTGCTATGACTAAAGGGATGCGCCACAACCACCCAGAAATATTGGTGTCTCCTGGTTAAAATCCAAGAATAACAAAACACCCTAAAGTTTTCCTGGAAATAAGACACGGACTTTTTGTATTTTTGTTTCAACTGTCAGAAAGTATAATCACATTTGCTCATGGGCCCAAATACTCAGCACAGACTTCTGGTGTCCAGGACTACCTTCCTTCACACACAAGGCCAAGTCCCCTACTGGGAGTGTGCCAGACTCTCCACGCCCAAGTACACTGTCTGACTCAACTAGCCTCTGCTTCTGCTGGTGAATAGGCCTCCTCTGCTTTTCTGTTCTAAGAACACACAACACTTTTCTTTTCTAACACTCTTTGCAGCTAATTATTAAAATAAAAAAAGGAAAAATCCTGCTTCGTCGCTTATTTTCCCTGCACACCCAGTTCTACCAAGAAGGTCAAGTCATCCTGCAGTACCCAGGCGAGTGAGTAAAAGTAAGTGGCGATGTTCTTAAATTTAGAAATTTATTCTGTTCTGTTTAATCCACAAGCTTTATATAGCTTTAGTTAAAAAATAAAATAAAACAAAACAAGTGAAACCAGACACTATGTCCAAGTCCAGGCTGCCAAATGCAAGAGCTCCTCAGGGTGTGCCGATTGGAAGAGGAAGGAAAAGACAGGCATGGGAGCCACGGAGTTTCATGAGACAAATTTATCTAACTGAAGGGTCCTTCCTGGGGCTATTGAATTGCCTTTATAAAAGAGAAAGAAAAAAGGGAGAGAAGGAAACAAAACAAAACCCAAAGAGGAGGCAATCCCAGAATTCCAAATCAACTTATGAACTTGTCAGGGACAGAATCTCCAGCAGCCACGAGCAGCAGCTCCGCTCTCTCTGGAGCTGGGATCCTGACGTGTCAGCAGACTCCACAGGCATCAGGAGTGTCTGCAGCATTAAAACACTCACTCACACTTTTGTGGCTCTTCAACAGTGGTCTCATTTCTGGGCAAGCTTACAAACCCATACAAGGTTGGAAGCATAATTTACATGGGTGCTAAGATTCAAGAGAAAGGGGGAAAAAACTCCGGGGAGCGGCAGGGGCCTTTAAACGAACCACAAGAATGCCAACAATATTTAAACCCCCTTTGTTAAAAAAAAGAGATTTTTTTTTTTTTGGCTTAAAATATTTCACTCTAAATGTCAATGGAAGAATGTCACTAATACACCGTGGACACCTTTGTAATGTAAATCCATGCCCCCCTTTTTTAAAACATGGTGAACTTCAACCTAGCAATTATTACAACAAATGTTATAGTCTAAAGCTCAAACACATTTTAGCAATTTTGAAATTGAATTGAGTACAAACCAAATAAAATTTACAACATAACAAACATGTCCCCTAGGACTGTGGGGACACTTGAGCCTTCCGCATGGACCGCAGGGCTTTCTCCCGCAGGTGCCGTTCTAAGTCGTCAAGGTTGTCATCTTCAGCCTCACTTTCAGTCTCCTGAAAAACAAACCCAAACCGGGCAGATACTAAGTCTTGAGACACAGTGGGAGACTCAGTCCAGAGAATGAACCAAACTCCAACGACTGCACAATTGTGCACAGAGGAACCAACCAAGGCTGCATCAACCAGGACTTCTGAGACGGGTGCTTTGTAGCCTAGGCTTTTATAGAGCAAAGACTGGCCCTGAGCTCTCGTCTTTCTGCCTCGAAGCTCCCAAGCACACACCAACATACCAACATACTGGGGATCAAATCCAGGCCATAAGCATATTCCTCTGCTTGCTCTGCAACTATGAAGACCCGAGGTTGGCTCCCCAGGTGGCAGCACACCCACAACCCCTGCAGCTGAGGAGGCGGGCTAGCTGCGGCCCGCCAGCCTATCTAAAATAGTAAGCTCCAGGCAAGAACAGCTCACCCCAACACTAACAACTTGCGTTCATCTGATCCTAAGAAATTAACTCTGCAAAGAGTCCTGACTTTGTAAAGTACAACAAAAATTATGGGGAAAAACAAACAAACAAACAAAAAAGCCCAATGGCCTCTACATACACACTGATGAGTGATCACACACAACCCTGCTGTGATCAGTTACTTGTCCCCCATTTTTTTCTCTATTATGTGAGGGTTTTGTTACATTTAGTGTGTCTAGGGGTGTGGCTCTGTGGTAACATACATGCCCAAAGCACAGCAAAAGGCCCTGTCGCCAGGCCTGTCCCCTGAAAGTAGATTAGAAAATTTGGAAACATCCCAGCATTAAGCTTTTGGGAATCACTTTTACTCCTCTCCTTGGTCTCCAGAATCAGCAGCATTTTACAGTCTAACAGAAAGGAAGTTGCTACAAAGTAACTACTTCTCAGATGGTAGGCAGGGGGTGTGAATACCTTCCTGGGCTCTGGTGCGGCCACAGGCTCTTCAGGTGCAGAGGTGGTTGCAACAGCAGAAACAGCTGCAGGGGTTGCAGGAGCTGCAGTGGCTACAGCCACAGCCTTCTCCTTCTTGTGTTTTTTGTGCTTCTTGTGTTTCTTATCCTTTTTGTGTTTCTTGTCCTTCTTCTTCTTCTTTTTCTTTCCACCTCCTTCTTGATCAGAATTCTAAAAACCCAGAGAGAAACAGTGAGGTAATTGATCTGATTAAAATCCTGTTTTATTTCCTCAAGGAAATCTTAAACAAATCCATGGTTCACAGAAGTGCCAAGACAACTGCCACGAATGAAGGCATTCTCATAGAGGTGAGACACACTAAAGCCAAGGTCCTCCCACAAATCAGGAGCAAAGAGCCTCTGACTTACAGAGTTTCCTTACGCCAGGTTTCCAACTTCAGGACATGAGTGGGGTATCAAGAGCTGGAGTCATGCATTAACCATAAGTTACCTTCCATCTCCTGAGCATTAAATGAGGGTCAATTATAAACCTCTCACAACTTGGCTAACACATAGCAGAATTTTACACGTGGTGCCAACTCGAATCTAAAAATGACAGGACAAACTCTGAACCACACATATTTTAAGAGTGGGAATGGTCTGTTTCACTCCACTGCACAGAGATGTTCCATTTACGGGAGTTGGTCCTTTCTTTCTACCATGTGGGTCCTAGGGACTGAACTCATGTATTTCAGGCTTGAAGGTAGGTATCTGTACCCACTGAGCCATTTTATTAGGCCAGATGTTCCATTTACAACAGGGCTGTGTCTCCACAAGCCCTGAAGTTAGATCCTCATCCAAGTAAGATACCCAAACCTATCTTTGACTCTACTGAAACCACAGCCTAGTAAAACTGACTTCAGCACATTCCAAGCACACATTGGCCTAATACAAAGCCACGGTAACAATGCCAACTGGCTCATGTCCATCACTGAATATCAGCAGCAAGTTTTCATGTTTAAAACCTAAAACAGAGGATCCAACCCAAATTCAGAGTACCGTTTCTATTGAACATAAATCACTTTCATACCACAGAATCAAAGATTATATAACTGGTAGGGGGGTAGGTGGTGGCACAGGCCTTTAATACCAGCACTCAGGAGGCAGAGAAAGGTGGATGCATCTGAGTTTAAGGGCAGCCTGGTCTACAGAGGGAGTTATAAGACAGCCAGGGCTACACAGCGAAACCCTGTCTTGAAAAAAAAAAAAAAAAAAGTTATTTTAACAGTGTCACCACATAATAGAGACTGCCTCTATACTAAACTTCTGTAAATTAATTTAACTGATTCTAACTCGTAACTTAATTGTTTTTCAGACAGGGTGTGGGATTTGTTATGTAGCCCAGGTTGTCCTCGAACTAAGACACCAACCTGCCTCTTTATCAAAATGCTACCATTATAGGAGTGTGCCACAAACTAGGTTCTCAGATTTCTGATTTTTAAAATTTTATTCATTAACTGGTATTTATGCGGTAGATTCACATGACCAAGGCTGAGGCTCGTCTTCAACTCCTAATGCTGCTGCTGCTGCCCAAGTGCTAGGATTGAAAGCATGCACAGCCATCTCTAGGTGACCAAATTACAACAGATGTCTAAAACAAGGTAGGTACATACCCTGGCAGGAGACGGGCTGGGTGTTGGACTTTTAGCCTTTTTGGCTGGTAGGGCGGGTGACCAGTTTGTGGAGGGTGACTGGGACTGCGCAGGAGATGGAGGTGCTGGAGGCTTTTTAGCCGCTGGCTCGGGAGATCCAGAGACAGATGGGGAAGACGAAACCCTTCTCACAGACTGAGGTCCTGGTGAGGCAGCCCTGCGCAGAGGGAAAGCAAAGACACAGCACTAAGAACACTCACAGGTACCAACTCCAAGCTTTTGTGTTGCACAAGGCTTCTACAGGGTCATGCATGCTCCACAACACTCTACCATTTTACCAATGGTTTATCCCATAGGACACTAATGACATCAGTTCCTTAGTTTCCTAAAGCCTGCTTTCTGCCAGTCTTCAAGGCTTTTCAGGGGCTGCAGAGATGGCTCAGTGGTTATGAGCACTGGCTATTCTTCCAAGGACCAGGGTTCATTTCCCAGCAACTATACAACTCATAATTAACTACAACTGCCATCTCTGACACCTGCTTCTGGACTCTGTGACACTGCCCGGAAGAGGTATGCAGAGCACACACAGGCCAAACACCCATTTACATAAAACAATAAAGAGAAAAAAGGTTATTTCACTTTAGACTCAGATTTGGAAGCATCTTTCAAGCTAAGAACCAAGTAAAGCCCTCTGGCATTTATGCTACAGAGAGCTAGGTCCAAAGGGTAGGGGGAATGTGTGAACAATACCTATAGCTTGCTTTTTAGTGTCTCATTGTCTTTCTCTCTCTCTCTCTAAGACAGGATTTCTCTGTAGCTTTGGTTGTCCTAGACTCCCTTTGTAGACCAGGCGGGCCTTAAATTCACAGAGGTTCACCTGCCTGGCTATTGTTTTTCAAGACAGGCTTTCCCTGTGTTGCTCTGGCTCTCCTGAAACTTGCTCTGTAGGCCTTGAACTCAGGAGATCCGCCTCCCTCAGCCTCCCAGAGGTTGGATTAAAGAAAGGTGTGCTCCACCATTCGCTTACTTATTATTCTATAGCTGTTCAGTAAGAGAAGGGATTCTACATATTATATAGCTATGTATTCCCAGCAAAAAAGCATTAAGTATTTTTACTTTTTTATCTTTTTAGGCTCCGGAGTCCTGGAGACTCTTCTAATAGGCCTAGTACTTGGAGACGGGGACTGCCTTCCTTGGGGTGATGCCGATGCTCCTCTTCGAACAGGGGGGGGACTTGAGGTCTGAGGAGCCCGTGGCCGTGGTGAGGGTGAATGCCGTTTGTTTGGTTGTGGTGAGCGGGCCTCCCGGGTGGAGCGGCCTGGGGAGGATCCTTTCCTATGCTTTGAAGACAAGGAGGGCGAGCGTCTCTTGGCGACAGGAGGGCTTCTTTGTTTGGGAGGCGGGGAATGGGAGAGCCGGCGCTTTGGTGGTGGTGATGGTGAGACCCTTCGCTTGGGTGGAGGCGGGGGTGAGGCGGTTCTCCTCTTTGGAGGTGGGGAAGGCGAGTATCTCCTCTGTATGGGAGGAGAGTATCTTCTTGGAGATGGTGAGCGGCGACGTGGGGGAGGAGAAGGAGTCCTAGAAAAAACACACCATCAAGCTGAACAGAATCCAGAAACCAAATCTTTTCTTATTATCTGGATGTGTGCACACCACACATCATGCATGTTGAGGCTGGACATTGTGTGGAGCCAATTCTCTTCACCCACCTCTATGTGGACTCTGGACCTATTCAAGAGAACCCATTCGCCGTTACATGAGAACCTCACACTGTTGTAACTGTGAGCATCAGCTGTTGCCAGCTAATAATCAATTAACAATGGCCAACCGGGAAAAGTCTACTTTATTGAGTTCTATGTGACAGGCCCTGGAGAGATGGCGCGCGCGCACACACATCCCCCGCTTTGTTTTTTTTTTTCTTTGAGACTGGGTTCCTCTGGTTTAGCTCTGGCTGTCTGGAACTTGCTCTGCAGACCAGGGCTGATCTCACAGAGACTCGACTGTCTCTGCCTCCCAAGTTCCAGAATTAAAGGCCACCACCACTTGGCAAGATGGCTTAACTTGCTGCTATTCCAGAGGACCTGGCTTTGGTGCCTAGCACCCACATGGTAGCTCACAGTTCATAATTCAAGTTCAAGGGATCCAATGCCATTTTCTGGTTTTCATATACAAAGTGCACACACACCAAAAACAGTCGTATGTGATAGTGTGTTGTCTCCTTTGAATTCTCACCCTAGTTTACTGAAAAAGATTTCAACACAGACTGTTCATCTTTCTGTCTCAAAGGACCACTTCTTAGTGCAAGTTCACTGCCAGGAAAAGATATTTCTGAAAGTTCTATTTGGCTTTTCTCTCTCTCTCTCTCTTTTTTTTTTTTTTAAAGATTTTATTTATTTATTTTGAGTGTTCTATCTGTATGCACACCTGCATGCCAGAAGACAGCAGCAGAAGGTAGAGATGGTTGTGAGCCACCATGTGGTTGCTGGGAATTGAACTCAGGACCTGAGTTCAGAGCAGTCAGAGCTCTTAACTACTGAGCCATCTCTCCAGCCCCTTGGCTTTTCTCTTAAAGGTGACAAAATCCTGTTATGCCAGCTAGGAATTAACGTAATACAGCACTTAGGGAAACTGTACCATTTGTGCTTAGATCTTTCAACATAAATTCCCGCTGAGAACTGGGTTTGCAACAAGCCAATCCTCAGGCAAAGTCGTAGAGTGGAGCTCAGTAATTATTTAATAACTCTGGCTAGGCACAGTGGCTCCAATTTGTAATCCCAGTACTTGGGAGGTATCTGAGACAGGCCCAAATCCAAGATCAATCTAGTTCACATACAAAGATCGTATTAAACAAGAACAATACTCCCCTCCAAAAAAGGACACACAGACTCGTTTTCTATTTCTCTCATACACATGAAATAAATGTTCTTTTAAGACAGAGTCTAGCTATGTATGTATGCATGTCAGTTGTATACAAGAACTCACGATATTAATTCAGGCTGGCTTCAAACTAGTGTTGATCTTTCTGATTCTACCACTTAAGAGCTGGGGTTATGGGTGTGTGCTGATACACATAGCACGTGACTAACATTGTCCTGCGAGTTCGGACCTCTCCATTCATGGAGTACCCTTTGACTTGGCACCGCTAGCACTTGTAGTAAGTCATAACTGGTTGGAGTATTACCAAAGCATCCAAAATGCACGAGGTCAGTTAACTGCCAGTGCGCACAATTTGATGGGTGTCAGCGCACTCCCCTGGCTGCCATTCCAAACTCCTCTAGCTCAGGCACCCATCTGTTTACTTTTCCCGTTTGTCGAGTGGGGTTTGCTGCTCTATGATGCAGGCTGACCTCCCAACTCAAGTCTCCTGCCTCAGCCTTTCAAGAGTTGAGCATAAGTAATACACTCCTACTATTCCCCCACACACACCCCATTTTTCAAGACAGAGTTTCTTTGTGGAGCCCTGGCTCTCCTGGAACTCACCCTGTAGACCAGGCTGGCCTTGAACTCAAAGACTCCCCTGCCTCTGCCTCCCTAGCGCTGGGATTAAACACAGGTGTCACCAACGCCCAGTCCTGTTTTCTTTTTCTATAGAGCCCCATGTCCTATAAGTGAGCTCACATTTAATGCGAGCTTTTACGATTAGAGATAAAATGTCTCCACACAGCGCAACTCTCATGATAAAGACCCAGATCTGCCACCAGGCTACTGGACACGGTACCTTCGTCGTGGCGGGGGGGTAGGAGATCTGCGCCGCCGAGGAGGAGGTGGGGGAGGAGGAGGTGGAGCTGGAGAAGGAGATCGTCGCCTTCTGGCAGGTGGTGGGGACGGACTTCTCCTCCTTCTCCCACTAAAGCAAGGAATCGCAGTTATTCTCAGTCAATGCCATTTATAATCAAGTCCCCAGAAAGCATACTTTCAGTGGTTAACCCAGGGCAGAGATGTTACTTTATGTTTCGCTTTTGGTATGGGTAAAACAAAGCTTTGTGGAGTTAGCTCCAGAAAAAAACATGTATATTGTTATGACATAAACAACCCACAAGAGAAAGAGAAACAATTCAAAAGACTGTCACCAGAACAGTTATTTTTAGTTAAAATACACATGACAATCAGTTGGGAAACTTATCTGTCAATCTTTATGAAAAATATCTTGGATATTAACAGACACCAATGGCTTACGGCCCAAATTTAGAAGCTACTGCTCCGAGCTCCCCTTCTCTGCACTGCTGTGGAACACAGTGACTGCACACACAAGGTATGTACTCTCTGTGATCTTACCCCTGAGAGAGGACGGGGTGTCACGCCTACCAACACTTTAAAGACAAACCATGAAGCTGCCTCAGAGCTGCTCTGGAAGTGAAGGAGTTAAAAATACACTCAGGAACCAAACACACCCCAATTCTGAGTTCTGTAATAGACCTAAACAACAGAAGCCACACACTAAGTACCATACCCTAACCAGCTAGAAGCAACCTCACACAAAACTTACTTAAATGTAGGCTAAGCCACTTTGTCACCTTGAGGTAAACTGACACACAGTAAGAAAGAGGTCCTTGCCCACCCAGGACTGACAACATGAACCCTGCTCAGTTTCTAAAATTTACCAGGCCCCAGCTCCTATAGGAGACACAGAAAAGCCAGAAATTCACCACCAGCCAACCAGATTTGAGTTAGGTTTGCTGGCAAGCTATGATTAGCACTTCATCTTAACACTCTACACAAACACTCAAAATCATGCTTGATTTTACCCTCCCTAAAATAGGATACTCAAGTGGGCAGTGGTGGACACACCTTTAATGCCAACACTCAGGAGGCAGTGGCAAGCTGGTCTCTGAGGACAGCCAGGGCAACACAGAGAAACCTTGTCTCAAAACAAAAAGGAAAAATATGATACTGAACCATAACTCAAAATAATCTTATTTTCTGTCAGACATCAGGAGACAGAGGTAGGCAGACCTCTGTGAGTTTAGGGCCACATTCAAAAACCCTACTGAAACAAAGCTTTCTGATACAGGATCTCACTTTGCAGGCCGGCCGGCCTCTGTCTTCTGAGTGTGCTATCACGTCCCTAACAGCATTAAACTTGAAGCTACTAATATAACTAATATAACTCCAAAGGGCGGGGTGGGGAATCAGCCGTTTTTGTTTTTTTGAGAGAGTATCGCCCCACACAGCCCTGGCTGTCCTGGAACCATTGCCAAGACTGAAGGCACGAGCCACCACACCTAGCTAAAAACATCAATTTTGTTCTGTTCTTGATTTGTTTTATCACCCGAGACAGGGTTTCTCTGTGGAGTCCTGGCTTTCCTGGAGAGCTGGGATTACAGCCATGCACCACAGCTCCGGGTGGAGCATTAATTTTGATTTCACTGTTTTAAGGAGTCTTTCCAGAACAATACAGTTCTACAATGGGGAAAAGAGAAAAATCACAACACTAACAGTTCTGGCGAAAGCAATTTTTGATTTTTTAGTTTAGCAAATTCACAGGAGCCACATGTCACTGCAGTTGGGAGAAAATACACTGTACCCAATCTACCAATTTTGATTTTGTCATTATCATGAGAAAGTCTCCTCTCAGCAAAAATACCCAACTCTGTTCCATTACTGCTTTCCAAATGTCTTTCCCAAAAGAGCATAAAATGGGAGAAGGGAAAAGCAGGAAGAACTTCTCCATGTCTGCAGTTTGCAGACAGATGATTCCCAACCTGTGCTACAAAGGGAAGGGTGTCACAAAGGGTACCACAGTGGTACCCACAAAAAACTTGGAGTAGACGCTTCTCACTGTGTTTTCTCATTTGTGAGACAGGCCTGAGCTAATAAAAGGTTTTGTTCTTAGTGTTTTGAGACAGGGTTTCTCTGTGTAGCCCTGGCTGTCCTGGAACTCGCTCTGTAGACCATGCTGCCTGCCTCTGCCAACATTCACAACCTACTAAAAAATTTTTATACTGGATCTAGATCTAAAATTTTATGTTTTCATGGTCACATAAACACATGATCAAAACAAAAAAATCAGCAAATGGGAGTAGCAGGAGAAAGCCAGGATTGGTAAGATGAGCTCAGTAGATAAAGGCACTTGCCACCAAGCCTGAAGAACAGAGTGAGTTCAATTCCCAGGACCCACATGGTGAACGGAGAGAACCAATTGCTCCAAGTATCCTCTGACCTCCACCAGGTGCACTGTAGCACGTGTGCCCACACATATACACGACAAATAAAAATACAATCAAGACTAAGAATAAAAACCTTCCAAGATACAGAGGCAACCTTTACATTACCTTCTGCCATTTAAATTTTTCTGTTTTCTTACTTTCTCTAAAAGTCACCCTAATACAAAGTCACTTCCTACAGAGTCTAAGAAATGAGAATTACCAGCTTAGAAAAGGATCTAAAATCAACACCTCAGACACAGCTCTTCCAATCATTCATCTGCCACAAGAAAAACACGAAAAATACACACCAAAGCAACTTAGGACTTTCTCCACTGACACAATGCATCTGTAAAATGGGGACAGCCATCTGAACAGAAAATTAAGTAAACTTGGTATGTAACCCTAATTTACAAAAATAGTATCTAACCAACCTTTTAGTCACTGGCGATTGCCATCGTTTTCCCATCTGCATCCTGAGAGCAGTGGAGAAAAACAAATGTCAAGAAATCCATTCATGCAAGTTAAATCTTTCTTGTGGAAGCATTTTTTAAAGCTTCAAAATGTCTGGAATTAATGCTGCGATTTAATTGCTTTTTCTATTCATGCAAAAATAAGGCAATCACTTGGAAACTTGTCTAGTTTGGTTAAGAACTACCAACAGCAAGAAAAAAAGCTAACCAAAAGCCCAAACCCAACCTTCACCTCTAAGTACTGACAGGAAGAATCTGCCCAACTCTAAAATAAGTTTGCAGCCCACCCTACAAGTTACAGTTCCGACCCAACCACAGATCAGTCAAAACCATTAATGAAGGTCATTACCGAGGGGAAGTCTCTTTTTGGCGCTTTCGAGGTGATGGAGATGCACTCCGAGAAGGAGAATGTCTCCGCCGCCTGCCTACCTCACCGTTCTTCACATGGGATCTCTTGGGCCGCTCATCTTCTGAGGTGGAAGAGGAGCCAGAGTCTGTAATCACAGAGCAAAGAACAACCACAAAATATCACACTCACACACGCACTCACGCACGCATTCATTCACTCACTCACTCACTCACTCACTACCCTGCCCCTCGGCCCACGGCATGCTCAAGGTCCTAGGCTCTAACCACAGCACTAGGGAAAATGTTAGACTCAGCATTTACCTAGTACGGCATGAGGTCATGGGTTCAAGTCTTAGTACTGTGAGGACAATCATAGTGTCTGTCAACAGGCCACACCCAGCAGAACATGGGCCAACACAAGACTAGCGTATGTCAAGAGTACAGAGGCCTGTATGATCTCTTAGGAAGTCTCAGGACTTCCGATCAAGCTTACTGGTGCATGTTGTAGCTGATGACAAGGGAGGCAGAGACAGAAGAACCTCAAGTTTAACACCAGCCTCAGCAACACAGCAAGTAAGCTAAAAGTCAGCCTGTGTGCATGAGACTGCCTCAGACAGAACAAAAATCTACTGAATGTCTTCCCAATTAAACAAGTAAGGCTTCAAAAGGGCTGACGTGCAATTCAGTGGTAGTACACACACCTAGCACGAGCAGGCCCTGGGTTACAACCCAGCAGCAGAAGAAAAACCTCAATAAGTCACTTGAAATAGAAAATATAAGCATAGCAACTTGAGGGGGGCTATGGCTGTTAGCAGAGTGCTCCCAGCACCCACATGGTGGCTCATGCCTGTGACTCCAGATCCCAATGGATCCAATGGCCTCTTCTGGCCTCCTCCGGGACCCATCCCCAGTACTGCATCAACTGGGTGCAGTGGTGCAAAGCCGTAATTTCAACACTGAGGAGGTGGAGTAAAAAGACCAGTCATCTGGACAAGTTCAAGGCAAGCCTGGACTACATGAGACCCTGCCTCAAAACCAAACCAAACCAAACCAAACCCACACAAAACTAGAGCAATGCAAGAAGAGAACATCTGGCTTAAATATTAGGCTTCTGTTCCCTCTCTTTTTAATCTAACAACTAGAATTATCTGAAAAGTTCATTAGCCTATTATTACAAACAAAAAACCTACAAGCAGCCTTAATGCCCACCAAAAGGCAACTGACCAAAAACCAAAGCAAACAAAACCACCTCCAAACAAACGGTAGTATATTCACAAGCCGGGCAGGGTGGCATACACCTTTAATCTTAGCACTCAACAGGAAGAAACAGTTAGTTCAAGACCCAGTTCAAGGTCAATTGGGTCCACATAGTTAATTCCAGGTAAGCCTTGGCTACATAGTGAGACCTGTCTTAAAAAAAAAAAAAAAAAAAAAAAAAAAAAAAAAAAAGCCACTAGCAAAAACTAGTGGAATGTTCTAAACCACAGACCCCTACATATATAAAACAAAATCTCAGAAAACCTTAAAGGGGCAGACTAGAATGTTAGGGAATAAATTAGTTTTCCAATTTTATTTTGTTTTACTATCATACTCTAGGTCAATTACCTTTTGTTTTGTTTGTTTTTTGAGACAGGGTTTCTCTATATGGCCTTGGCTGTCCTGGAACTCACTCTGTAGACCAGGCTAGCCTCCAAATCAGAGAGCCACCTGCCTTCTTCTGAGCGCTGGGATTAAAGTCACGTGCCATCACCATCCAGGCAATTTCCTTATTTTTAATAATGCTGGGAATAAGGCCTACGGCTTTGCACACAGAAAGCTGTACAATACCATAGAGTCAGGTTCCTAGCCAGATTACTTTAACAACCTAGAAATTTTTAAGGGCTTAAAAAAGAATGATACAGGCCAACTGATACAAAGAACTAAGATGGGCCAAACACATCCTCCAAAGACATGCATATTCAGAAGCAGAGTCTTTGGACTGCAGAGATGCTCTGCAGTTAAGAGAGATGACTGCTCTTCCAGAGGTCCAGTTTAATTCCCAGCACCCACATGGTAACTCATAATGTCTATAACTTCAGATCCCAATGGATATGATGCCCTCCTCTGGCCTCCTTGGGGGCCACCAGACAAACACATAGGTAAAACAAGCAACAACCAAAAAAAAAAGTGGTGGTAATGGGGGCAGGGTCTCACGAACTCAACATGTAGCCAATAACTCAACTTCTGACCTCCTGCTTCCTCTTCCCAAATGCTAATGTCACAGGCTTCTCTGGGGCTCTCACTGTGCAGCCCTCCCTGGCCTCACACACCACAGGAACTCTCCTGCCTCCGCCTAACTCCCGAGTGGTGGGGTTACAACAGTGTGGAGGTGGAAAGCACTCTCTTGTCCATACCAGATGAAGACTGCTGGTTCTGCCGTCTGTACTGTCGCCTCTGTTGCACAGAGTCAGCTGCAGCCATCTTGCTGCCTTTGTCCTCTTCTGAAAGATGGAGGTGTTTAGAGAGTGTTCCTTTAGTTACACTCGGGTAATGAGACAACCCAACATGAAACAGGCACTCAAACCTCTACCTACTACTGTGTATTAACCTAGTCACTACCAGTCATGCTGGGAGAGCATGGTCTCTGCCAACATTTCACTAGCTGTCAAAACCCAGAATTATGCCCAAATACAGAAGAACAAGAGGTTTAGGTGTGTGAAATAATCCAATAGAGCACACTTAAATGCTGGAACTGGGAATCTCAAGTTGTCTGTGTGATGTCACTTCCAGCTCTTCACTGCAGTGCCCTGTACAATCAATCTCCAACTCCAGGAAAAAAATCAAATACAGAAAGAAAAAACCGACCTCTAGAAAATCATGACAACTTACCAGATTCAGACAACTCTACTTTCCGAGGCTTGGGTGCTGGTGAAGGTGACTCTCTTTTCTCAGTACCTTTATGTTTTGTCACTAAAAACAAGTGAAGAAAACAACCTTCATACACAATAAAAAGAACCATGTTTTAATAATACAAAATCGGTCTGACTAGGCACATGAAAAACGTTACCTAATATTTAAACATGGAAAACTTCAAAAACTTGTTCAGCAGGGCTAGCAAGAACCTTGACTTGATTCCTCAAAGCCCATGAGATAAAACAGCTCGACACAGCATAATGCACCTGTAACCCCAGTACTCCTACAGCATGGTGGGAGGTGAAGATGAAACAATGGCCAGGAAGTCTGTTTGTGGGCCAGCACAGTAGAAGAGGAGAACCAACGTGTACAAAGATCCTTAGATGTTGCCCTCTAGGGATTGGAGGCCTGGCTCAGTGGTCGAGCTTGAACCCTGCTTTTGTAGGAGAGGAGCTGGGTTCCCACATTGGTGGCTCACAAACACCTGTGATCCTATTCCAAGGACTCTCATGCCTCTGGCCTACAAGAGCACTTGACCCAACTCCCACTTACACATAAATTTGTTTTTGCCCTGACTTATACACGTCTACCGGATATGCATGCTTGCACACAGGCACAAATTATGTATAATTTAATAAAATAGTAGTAATTTAAAAAACCTTGAGCAACCAGTTTCAAATCTTGAGCTTTTCCCAAGACAACCAACAGGAGAACCTAGCCAGTGTCATTAAGTGGAGCAAATAGAGCTGGGATGTTGCTCAGCAGCAGAACACTTGTTTGGCAAGACACCTTTGGTAGGATACCAGCCACCAGAAGAAAACAAAGATAGATGAGGGGATTCCTTGCTCCTAGCCCCTCCCACTGCCAGTCTTCTCAATTTTCCTTAGAGAACTTACACTTGCTCAGCTTTTTAAAATAAAATTCACATAGGGAAAGGTAAGTGGTCTGGAAAAGAATGACTACCTAACCAATAGGCCAAAAGCTTCTTATGCTCCATATATTCTTCACCATACAAAGGAGGTTATAATAACTTTAAATACTAAGGCTGAGGTGGGATTAAGAGGGGATAATGGAGGGGGCTATAGCTGGGAGACAAAGTGAATAAAATGTAATCAATAAAAAAATAATTTAAAAATATAGTAAGGCTGAATGAAGGGCTCTTTCCAAAGGATGAGAAAAAGGAAAGGGGGTTGGTGCTGTACCTCAAGAGTGCTTGCCTAGTGAGACCCTGGGTTTAAGCTCCCATGGGAGAGAAAGGAGAAAGGAAAAGTTTTCTAAGCTAGGACCACTCTGGTGCGAACAGGGAGCCACCCAATGACCTCACATTAACTGGACAATTACGGCACTCCTTTTGAAAACTTCCCGTGTCTTATATACCAAGGGTTTTGCTTTGAGACAGGCCTCACTCTGTAGTGCTGGCAGGCCTCAAGTTCACAGCAATCCTTTTCAGATTCCAGAGACCTGAGACGATAGACATGAGGCACCACACCCAAAAACGTATACTGTTAATCTTTTTTTTTTTTTTTCTAGTTTTTTTGAGACAGGCTTCACTGTGGAGCCTTGGCTGTCCTGGACTCGTTTTGCAGACCAGGCTGGCCTTGAATTCACAGAGATCTGCCTTCCTAAAGAGTGTTGGGATTATAGGTGTGCACCACAACACTCAGCTCAAAAATGTATACTGTAGCTAAAATAAAATTCTATTCACTCTTATGGCCCATTTTTTTGTTTGTTTGTTTTCAAGACAGGGTTTCTCTGTGTAGCCTTGGCTATCCTGGACTTGCTTTGCAGACCAGGCTGCTCTCATTCAGAGAGCCTCCTCCCTCTGCCTCCCAAGTGTCCCATTTTTACAAGAGTTCTTCTGAGGCTTGAAATAAAATGACATTGCCACAGTCAGAAACACAGAGACAGCTGAACAAACTGAGAATAGGAACCCAAGATTCTGTGTTTAGGGCACTGATCTCAACAACCATTTTCTCTTTCCTTAGAACCATCCATGGGGCTGGACAGATGGTACAGCCATTGTTAAGAGCACTTGCTACTTTTGCAGAGGACCTGGGTTTGGTTCCTAGTACCCACACAACAGCTTTAACTCTACTTCCAGGGGATCTGAAGTCTTCTGAGTTGTGGACACCAGAAACACATGGGGTGCTCGCGCTTTGACATGCAGGCAAACCCCCATGAATGTAAAAGAAATCTTTTGTTTGTTTTTCCAGGGATTTTTCAAGTAGCCCTGGCTGTCCTCAAATTCACAGAGATACTTCTGCTTTCCTACCTAGTGCTGTAAAGGTGTACACTACCACTGGCCAGCAAAATAAATCTTAAACACAATCAAAACCAAGTATATAAAAATAGAATCATTACTTTTACCATGAATCAACTACAAAAGCCATTTGCAAAGGCCCTTCTAAGAAACAAACCCACAAGGCCATCCCTTGGGAGTTTTTTTTTACCTGTTTTATATGGTAATGAATTGATAGGATATCTGATCAGAATACAGTTATATCTTAATATTCTGAGTTCTATTATAGACTACAGGGTAGTAGATATGAGACCTGGTAGTCTAATACTTCAACCTCATCCTCATAGAGGAAATTACTATATTGTAATCTTACACACAGTAAGCAAGCCCTGTATCCTTGAGCTATATTCTTGGGAGTTAACTACCAACCAACATTATTTGGCTAAACCACTGAACTGGGCGTAGTGATGCTCAGTGGTCAACAGCACAGTTTGGTGTGCAGCACATGAGTGCTCACAGCCAACTGTAACTCTAGCTCCAGAGCTGATGTCTCTTCTGGCCCATAGACACCTGTATTGTTGTGTATATGCCCTACCACAGACCATACATATTTTTAAAAACCCCAACATATAGGAGGCCGAGACAGGATTGCCAGCCTACATTAAAGACCCCATTCCCAAAACTTTATTATAAAACCAAAATCAAAACCAAACCAAACCAAACAAACAAAAAGGCGGCATAGCCTTTAATCCCATCAGAGGCAGGCAGATCTCTGTGAGTTTAAGGCTAGCCTGGTCTACAAAGTGAGGAAGGTGCTAGTTCTTATGAGTTTGAGGCCAGCCTGGTCTATGAGTCCAGGACAGCTAGGGCTATTACATGTAGAAATCATGTCTCAAAAAAACAAAAAGCAGGGCTGGACAGATGGCAAAGTGGTTAAGAGCACTGTCTGCTCTTCCAAAAGACCTGAGTTCAACTCCCAGCACCCACATGGCTGCTTGCAAATGTCTATAACTCTAGTTCCAGATGGTCTGACACCCCTACATCAATACACATAAAATAAAATTAATTATATTTTAAAACAACAACAAAACAAAAGGCAACCCCCCACGTCAAAATTACTATCTCAGAGATCAAAATTTAAAACCAGTAGGTAGCTTGACTGGTTGTAAGAAGGCATTTACCTAAGAAACATAAAACAATGTGGTGATTATTCCTATAAGACAGTTGGTGTATATGTCTGCTGAATAAATAACTAAACTGTAATACTGCTTTTATATCTCTTGAGACAAAGTCACAGTACTGCCTGACCTCAAACTGGCTATGTAATACTAGAATTATAGTACATTAACGGCAGGTAGTGGTGGAAGCATGCCTTTAATCCCAGAACACTTGGGAAGCAGAGGCAGAGGCAGGTCTATTTCTGAGCTCAGGCCAGACTGGATTACAGAGTGAGTTCCAGGAACTGCCACACAGAGAAACCCTGACTCGGGGGTGTGGTACCCCATCACATCTATCCAACATTACATATTTTGTTAAACTGTGAATAAACACATGGGAGAGTTCATCCTGACTTAACGTCTCATTAAAAGCTTAACTAAAATAGCCTTTCATAGTATTAATAGCATTTACTTTATCCTACTCTTGAGTTAAAGCATTATTACAAGTCTTTCCAGTTTCTGTATTTTTCTAAATGAGATTTTTTTTCCTTTTATTTACTATGCTATGTTAACAGTGTTTCAAGAATTTGCTGGGTGTGGTAACACACGCCTTCAGTCTCAGCAAAAGCAGGCAGATAGATCTCTATGAGTTTAAGTTAGCCTGGACTACAAAGAGTCCAGGACTGACAAAAACCCTGTCTCAAAAAACAAAACAAAAAAAGAATTCAAGGGGCAAATCATTCTAGCATAAAGTCAGAAATCCAAGAGAACAACTCTGAAGCCAAAATTTTAAAGGGTTCCAACAGTCCTGTTAATTATTAATCTTAGATTGCTTAAAAGATAACTTGTAAAGTTAAGATACTGAAACCAGGAATAGTAAAATAATAAGTATCCACAGAGCATAAATTTATAGTTTAGCTGATTTACAAGGTACAAACAGGCTGTGCCAGGACACTTGACTAAGGAACACATTCATGCAGTACCCAGGTCATGACTGTTTCAAAGTTCCTGCAAACATCCTCAGATGGGACTGTAAACTGCACTCTAAATCCCCCCACTTTTCTTTCCTTACTCTCATTTCACCAGCCCATTATCAACAACAGGTCCTAAGATCCCCAATAAACAGCTGCTCTACAAAACAGGAACAGGAGCTGTTACATTACAGCAGTACCATACTCCTACACATCCAGAGACCCCAACGTGGGTATTTCTGAAATTACAGTACCTAGTAGAAAAAGGCAAAGGACTTCATTCTACCCTTCAACTACCTCCCTAGTCATCAGGCATCTGGAGGTAGCAATTTGACAATTCTCACAGAATGCTTAACTTCTTTTCCTAACTAGTTGACCTTGGCTAAGTCACTTAACCCAAGAACCTGACAAAAGGTCTTTTCTAGCTCTCAAATTCTAATACAAGGGTCACTTCCACAACCAATCTTGGGCTTCCATGGATATAAAAAAGACTAAGCTGCACACTGTGTCTGCCCTAAGGAAGCTTGACCCCCTCGAGACAGAACACAAACTAGTCTCTGTTCCCCACACGAGCGTCTCCTGAATGCAACTATTTCACACACGTACAAGACATGCGTCAAAACTAGAGCCTGGCACCTGTGCAGCTCATGAAAAGGTAACTAATGAAACAACAGCCCTATTTTAACAGTTAACTCATTCCATTCAGGGAGTTTAAAATAATTCTGTATACTCTAAATTAAAAAAAAAAAAACAAACACAAAACAAAACAAAAAAACATGCATTTTCCCAAAATAAGTGGGAACACTTACTCCCCAGAGAGCTTTCTAGATCTAAACACAAGAAATATTCACGAGTATAAAGTCAAAGGAAAAGACAACTAAGCTAGAGCAGCGAACATTAGATTAAGACACGGTGATGGACTCAGAGAGGCTCGTTTTTGTGTCAAGTAACACAATGCTACAAACAAAAGCTGTCTGAAATAACCGCGTCTTACTTCATTACTGAATGAACTTGATGTTAAAATTAAAAACTGATTTGCACTTTGACCTTTTTGGTTTGCAATTCTTAGCGCGTCCTCTGCCCACTGAGCACTCCCAGTGCTAACAAAGGCACAGGTAGGCTAGGCCTCATGGTGCGCCCTTGGGCAGTCAATGGGCTCAAAATTCAGAATGCCACTCTCGAAAGTCCCAATTGTTACAGCAGCTTTCCCAATCCTCTCACCCCCTCCACTCACCTTTCAGGCTACTCCTGTTATCTCCATCTCCAGTCCTAGCACCAAAGTCACCATTCGAATGGACCCTATCTTTTTTCTCCACATGTGTTTAGTAAACAAACTCCAGTAAAACACAGGCTGACAAGAATTCTACTTCCTGGCACAATCACAGGCTATCAAGTCCTCAGAAACTAATCTATTGTCCAGAGTAAGAACAACATCCAAGAACCCTGCCTGCCTAAATCCATCCACCCATTAATCAATAAAACAAATCAGCCTTTAAGAACACCATGTTCTTCCTCTGGGAGCATAAATGTGACCAAAAAGAATAACAGAACACATAGTCCTCAAATAAGGTATCAAACAAAAAGCCTTTCTTAAGAAGTGGCGGAGGGAGGGTGAAATATTTAACTGTCTCAGAGTGATAGAATGAACCTTGCATTAAGAACATAAAACTTCAATCTGTTATTCCAACTCATACAGCCTTGAGCTAATGATCTGGGCCACCTGCCCGCACAGAGGGCACTGAGAAAACAAACCACCTTGACATATAATCCCACTCCAGCAAAGTCCTGAGAACAGAAAGCAGAAAAGCCAAAGAAAGCCAATTCACAGTTTCACATAGAATGTACTGCTCAGCTGCTTCTGAAGTTAGGTGGGGACAACTGGGATGACCTGGATGCCAAAGAGAACAAAATGCTTTTGTGTTTGTACCTTTACCCGAAGTTCTTCCCGGAGACACAGAAACACGACTTTTCCTTGTACGGTTTGACTGCTGAGGAGTTGGGGAATGGCGAGTTTTGGGTGGTGGAGTTGCTGGAGATGACGGCCGGTGCCTTCGCCTTGGAGGACTTGCTGAAGGCGATAACCTACGTGTTTTCCGAGGGGGGCTGGATGTCCTCTTGGGAGGCTTCTTTGGTGGCGACCGGGAACGAGATGAAGAGGATGAAGAGCTACTTCCAGACAGGGATGCGGAAGAACGCCTCCTTCTGCGGGATAAAGCATTCACTTCACTACCTGCATCCCTAAGAAGAATGACGTTACAGTATGTACAATATGCACAGAAATACAGCTATTTTCTTATCCAACTTTTGAGTTTATGTAGCTAAGTACATAAATTACTTCAAAAAGATTGGAAACAAAACCATAACCTAGGACAGGAAACAGCTATTTCTGAGATTAAATACACATAACTCATTCTGATTGTGTTTGAGCTGTGAAGGCTATAATCCAGTAACCAAGCAGCCTGCTGAAGAGTGATATTGGCGTTATGGAGTTTGCAGAACTTTGGAGGTGAGAGTATTGCTCATTCAGAGTGATGTCAAGCAACTTTTTTAAGTTTCACTAAATATGTGCAAGATTTAAAATTCATTTAGCTACATAAACTTAGAAGTGGGGCCTCTTGAATTCTGCGGCAAAATCTGTGGTTAAGTTCTGTTGCAATTACGTGTACCTGCAGAATTCACCTTTGGCAGATGATTTCCTGAGAACCTGAAAAAAAGAAACCCTACCTTAAGTGTGAGATTAAAAACTAGCCGAAAGGGAATCTTACACAATCTGCAAAATACCGTGAATTTAGTGTACACTACTGTGACATGTTTGCCAAACTCCAATGTAGGAAACTGCTGTCTCCCTCAGAGTGTACTAAGAGCACTGGCATTACTTCTCTCTGAAGGATCAATCTGAAAAGTGTGGTGCCTCGGATCACCACACAGAACATCTGTCCTGTCCACCAGCTGCAACAGCAATTCTACATGTTTAAATATAGATCCCTCATTAACATGCCCAAAGAACAGTATATCTGTTGTTGCTGTTATTAAAGTATGGGTCCTACCTGCAAAGAAAAAACTTCAAGGAGCTTACTGGGTAATTTCCCATTTTCTAGTTTGTGTAGTTGTCTATAAAGAACATTAACTCAACTTTTCCAGTGCTAGGAGTATACTTCAGAGGTGGAGCACATGCTCAGCTGGAGTGAGGCCCTGCTTAAACCAGCAGCAACAGAAGAAAACAGACATAAAAGTTCTATCCAAAGCAGACTTGAAAAACACGCCTGGATAACATATCAATAAAGCAGAAAAACTCTTGTACACCAGGCCTCTACTTTGGGTAAAGTTAGGTACAATCTTATTGTTATAACATATCCAAGATTAAAGTTTTATCTTATGCCCATTTTAGAATGGTAAAGCAATTTAAACATTTCCAAATTATTTAAAACAAGTTAGTACTAGCCAGGCATGGTGGTGCACGCATGTAATCCCAGCACTCAGGGAGGCAGAGGCAGGTGGATAGCTCTGAGTTCAAGGTTAGCCTAGTATACAAAGCAAGTCCATGACAGCCAAGGCTACACAGAGAAACCCTGTCTTGAAAAACAACAAAAACAAAAAACAACACAAAACAAAACCAAGTTAGTACTATTGGCTGAATTAGATATATGTCTAACTGCCACAAACACAACTACAGCTAACTACTAGTAATTACTCTCTCTAGGAAAAGAATTATGGGAACTTTCCTTCGATGTCACATCTGTCTAGTTATTACAAAGTTCCATTACAAAGGGTGCAGGGATGGTCTAAAAGTTATAGCATGAGCAGCTCTCCAGAAGTTCGGTTCCCAGCACGATCGGGTGGCTCACAACCACCTGTATCCAGCTCCAAGGGATTCCGAGGCCTCTGCAGGTGCTCAAAATAAACCTTTTTATAAAGACACCCTAAAAGTACTTGATGCGCAAGCCTGGTAACCCAAGTTTAATCTCCCAGAAGCACCCAAAGAAAGGAGAAAATGGACTCTAAAGTTGCCCTCTGACATCTAGGCACAAGTTACTCTATGTGTATACACATGCAAAATCGAAGGGTGTGTGTATTGTACCATGTAGAGGATGACTCAACTTCGAATCCGTTTCCCCCTCCCTCCAGTGTGCTGGGATCACAGATAGGAACCAGCACCCTTGGCCTGAACAGTACTATGGAGTACAGCCAGGGTTTCATGCAAAAATAGCAGGCACCTTACCAACTGAGGCACACTGCTAGACCGCAGTTCTTTTCTGTAGAACTTTAATGAGATCTTAGAAGGCGAACACAGAAGCTCTAGAAAAGAAGTGACTTCCTTTCCCAACACTAGATGTTTTGTTTTGCCCATTTTCGGTTTTCTAAGACAGGGTTTCTCTATGGAGCCCTGGCTGCCATGGACTGGCTTTGTAGACCAGGCTGGCCTTGAATTCAGAGCTCCACCTGCCTCTGCCTCCAGGGTGCTGGGATTAAAGGTGTGCACTATCACTGCCCAGTGTAGCTATTTTCCATAGCTAAAAAAGGTTCACACTTGAGGTACATCAGGATGGTTAGAAGATATGCTCTATACTTATGAGATCTGTCTTTATCAGTAGACAAAAGTAAATAAATAAAAATAAGTCCTGAAATATACCAAGGAATCCCCTGACATGGCCAGCACTAAGAAAGTCTCACCGTCTCCCTGGAGACCTACTCCTCCTATGCCTTGGTGGAGGAGGCATTCGTCTTGGTGGAGTTCTTCTTCGAGGAGATGGTCGCCTCCTTGGGCTTGGCCGCCTTCTAGGAGAGTACGATCTGTCACAACAAATAGAATTAGAACCCAAATAAACCAAGAACAAGGACCTTCTTTACACAAATTCCACCTCCGTGACTACTTCCACTGATGGTAAACTTTTATGGCACACAGAAAAAGCAGACATCATGTAAATGCAGAACGATCTTTGTTCGCAAGACACTCTGACACGATTTACAACTCTCCCTTGAAAATCAGCACAGGCAGCCTAAAATGTACACCGTCCCAGGAGTACACACACCTCGATCGGGATCTGTGTCGCCGCCTTGGTCTAGTATGAGAAGGTGATCGAGAACGGGTCCGAGACCGTGATTTGGAACGTGACCGGGATCTTGGTCGGGTCTTTTCCTTTTCCTTTTTGGAATTTTTTTCTGGAGAAGGTTCTTTGGGCTCTGGTACAGGCTCTGGCTTGGGAGCTTTCAGGATGTCACTGTGGAAATAACATTTTGGTTTTTTCCCCCTGCTCTTCTCAGAATCCTAAGCAAATACAACAGAATTAACTGGTTCTCTTTTTAAAGGGTTTTCAAGGGCTAACAAAATTGCTGCCTTTAGTATTTATGGTGCAAGCTCGACCACCACAGTTCAATTTCCTAGAACCCCACATGAAAGTTGAAGAAGAGAGCCAGCGTGACATTGTGACCTCTTAACAATGTGACCTGTTGGGGCTGGAGAGATGGTTCAGTAGTTAAGAGCACTGTCTGCTCTTCCTGAGGTCCTGTGTTCCCAGCAACCATGCTGGCTCACAACCATCTATCTATACTGGGGCCTGACGCCCTCTTCTGGCATCCAGGTGTACTTGCAGTCAGAGAACCAATATACATAAAATAAATAAATGTTACAAAAAAATGGCCTGTCCCCCACTACTAACAAATTATATTAATAAATTAAGATACAGGTCACCTTAATTTAAAGTTTTCAAAATCTGCAAAGACTTCTTGTGGCCACAAACACAAGGTCCAGCCAAGACAGCACCCTTTAGCTACTTGACCACGTGTGCCATCTATGGACAGCGAGCTGCAGCCACTGTGGGTCCTGCGTGGAGTGTCCACAACTGCAGGGGCTGCAGTGTATGTAGTGTCATACATGCTGCACGGCCTTGTGAACTATGAGACATGTTGTGCAGCAGCTACATCATGCTCAAGCCTAAGGCAACCATGGGGCACACGAGGATCCCATTGAAATGGGATAAAGTGGCTTTAATTTGGTGTATTTTGTACCGCAGTTAACAGAAGCAAATTAAAACAGGAATCTGTCCACAATATAATGGGCAAGTGGGTAGGAAAATCAAATCACAATCGATAAAAATTTTGAAACAATACCAACAGACAAATAGTCACCTCTACAGCACTTCCCTTATATTTTCCATATAATGTATGTAAATTCGGCTCCATTTTCCCACACTAACGTTGTAACATTAAAACTTAAGCCTAAAACATGATTATGTAATGCAATCTTAGGAACGTGCCTTGTAGACGTGGCCTCCTGTACTGAAGAGTCTTTCGTTCTCACTGACGGTTCTGGGAGCTCTGGAGATTTCTCCTTCTTTTCTGGGGCAGGGGAAGGGCTCCGGCTCTTGGTTCTGTGACGGGGAGATCGAGAGTGACTGCGCTTTCTCTCTCTCCTGACAGGGGAAGATCGTCTTCTAGGGGAAGGAGATCTGGATTTGCGTCTAGGACGAAAGCAATTTTTTCAGATTTTTGAATAAAGTGGTTTGGAGTAGACAAAGGGAAAATCGAGGATTAATCTTTTAAGTTACCCACTGTTGTCTGTATCTGAGAAGTTTCACATGGAAACAAGATATCCATTTCATCTACTTGAGAGGGAAAAGGCCAGAGAGAACTAGAAGGATAAGCAAACAGAGGTAACAGCCTCAAGTACCAGTTAAGAGAGAGAGGCACTGGCTTGGGTTGGTTCTCAACTATTCCCAGAGATCATTCAAAGACCTGAGACGAAAAAGCTTAAAGCAACCATTTCCTCAACAATACATCGATTCTACCAAAATACAGGGTTTAGGTACAGACAGCTCTTATCAGAGATAATCAGGGAGAGTCTCAAGATGCAGAAAAATGGATGGGCAATGCGAGCAGTACGTTCTTCAGAAGAAGACAGCAATGCCAAATCTGCAAAAGATGACTAGTTATTGGGGAGCCCTTTCTCCTTTTCACCTGTAGTGTACCTAATTCACTATTTATTACTTTTTAAAACTTGTATTAAAGTTCAACAGCAGACTTAGCCCACTGCTGGTCATAACAGCCTTAGAGGCACTGCTGTGAGTAGGTTTTAGACCTCAGCACAAACTAAAAAACAAAATATTACCTCCTTTCTTTACAAATTCCCACAGATTCATTTTTTAAAATCCTAAAAATGAAAAGCCTAATAGAATTCTCTCACCTTTCACCACAAATATAGTAGAAGCTGAACCGTGGATCTAAAAATGTGAACCTAACAATAGTCTCATTGGAAGAAAGAAGAAAACAAATAAATGATCTGAAGTTTGGGTTCAGTACAATCATCTAAGAAAAGCAGAACAAGGAATTAGGTAAGTATATGAATGCTAACAAAGCAGATTTTTAATAAAAGGGAAACGGAAAGAATCAGAATACAAACAACAAAAATCCCAATGCTTTATTTAAGCAAAGGAATATGAAGTCTAAATTTCTATTTAAGAGCGAGTAACTCACCTAAATTAGGTGATCATTTTAGTCAAATGATCTGTCTCAAACAAAGGATTTTTTTTTTTTTTTTGAGAGTATCACAAAGTTGCCTTGGCTGATCTAGAGGCCACCCTCCCCCCCCACCCCCCCTCAACCTCCTGGGTAGCTGTATAAAACAAGTGCCAAAATGCCTAGCAACATAAAAGATGTCTTTGGCCCAAGGCTCGCCACCCAAGTCCTCTAACTGGAGGAACTTCTGCCAGGGCATTCTTTAAGACCCAAGGCACCTGTAAAACACTGTCTTTGCATCTGTTATGCCATACCTTCTGGGGCTGCGAGACCGCTCCCTTTTTTCTCTGCTGCTTTCTTTTTCTTCCTTATCCCTCTTATCTTTATCTTCATCTTGTTTTTTCAGAGATGCCAATTTTTCTTGTTCAATCTACAAGGACACAATTGAATGCTGAGAGCAGGCAATACAAATGCCATGGGCTGGATTATCACTGGTGTCATAACTACCATTTCACCAGTCTTGGCTTGCAGACGCGTTCACAGGTTCTCAACCTTACTGTTATAACATTGTTTACTACCTAACTCTTATAACTTTATAATTACTTCCTATGTAAGAATTTGCCCATACTTTTTAGATACATTAAAATTTCTTTTAAGTTAAATTCACTTTCTCAGAGGCAGTTACTGGCTTCTGAGAAAACAGCACTCTAGTATTCAAAGGAGGAGTGGTAAACCACAACTCAATGTGCAAACATCTCACAGAATGCCGAAGGCTGGCCAGATCACAGAAGTTAAAATATCTTAAAGAAAACAAACAAAAGTTAAGGTAAACCATCAGTCCACATACTATTTCTCAAGTCAATATAAGAAGGATTATTACTTGTCTCTGTTTTATTTCTTCCTTCTTCAACTCTAAGAAAGCAGAAGGGATCCCAGCGATATTTTCTTGTGCACTTAACAGCAGGGGCCACAGTTCTCCCATGAATTCTCTAGCATTTTTCCCATTCAAAAATCCAGTCAGGTTGATTTGCATCATTTTGGAATCTGGGTTCTGCAAAAAGACATGACAGGAAGAAAAACAGGTTACTCCGAAACCAACCAGCCAACCTAAAACTCATTTAAATTAGTATTTAAAAAAAAAAGTCTACCATAAGGGGCTTAGATACATATATATGCTCTACTATTTTAAAAATAGTTTCCCCTAGTTGCTTCTTGGTAATATTATTTCTAGATAATCAAATTTTCTCTCACTGAACCAAAAGCACTAGAGCAGCCTTTGTGGATTTCCTAAGTATTTAGACTGTTTGGCTGTTAGTGGGCCTCAGATAGTTATCAACTTTTAAAACAATCATGGGTCATCTATAAATTCTTGCATTTACTAACAAAGTATTTTCTTGGCTGAAAAACTTGCCCCAACAAGAAATTGAAAACATACATAAACAGTTCTCTTTACACTATAGGTAACTTTCTATAAAATATCTAGTATCTAGTGCTCAGTTATAAGAACTAACAAGTTATGCATGCACTCTGTAACTTTTGAAGACTACGCTAGAAGCCTGACGACTGCACATGAAAACCTATTACTAACAATGCCACAGATGCTCAACTGTCCACAAAACTAAGTCAAGATTTCTAAAAAGTAATTGGGTTTTTAAACACTAGGTCTGTTGGTCAAGCAACAAGGTCCGTATAACAAGCACAGCTCAATAGCACAAAGCAAGTACAGATTCCAGGTGTCTTCAGTTTCTTCTTGGAACCTTGGGGGTTTGGAATCGCCAAGTCCCCTGTAGAGAAAGATGTTCCCTTGGCTTGCTTCCGACTCCCTACTGCAACTCAACCACCTTGAGTTTAATGTTATATCATTTATCTAAATTGCAAAAGACGAACAAGCAATAATGAGTACACAACCACAAAAAAAGAAAAGATTGTTTAAAAAGTTCTAAACTTTAATCTCATGCTCACTACAAGGGGACTACTACCAGATATTTAGGTTTTAAAAGTGCACTAAAATTCAAATCAGTAAAGCATTTCTTCAATTAAATCTACCATTAAGCATTTAAAAAACATTCTCCCATGTTTCTGGTTTCTAAATGAAATAAACATACTTAAATATAAAGTCCCTTCTTAAAATTAAGTCTTTAAAAACATTCAAAGCAAAATAATTAACATTGTTTTAAAAATGAAATACCTTATTGGTTGGAATGATAATGTTCTGTCAAAATTCAACATGAACTCTTGGGAAAAGGAGTAATGGAAAAGTAAACTCACATCGGTATATTTACCAAAAGGTTATATGGTACATCTTTACTGTCCTTTGGGATGCCATGACAAAATAGCAAACTATGTTATAACAGAAATGTTTTTAAACATCAGATGTATTATCTTGTAGTATTTCATATTGGATCACAGGAACAATTATGTTAACTGGCTTTAACAGGACTGTCAATTCATCTGCCTGCAGTTTAACTATAAACAAAATCCTGTGCCTAGAGTCTAACTGGTAACCAGCTGACTTGTAACTACAGCTAAGACTTTAGCTCTTTAAAACAACATCCAATCAAAGCAGAATCGCCCCTCATGCTTCAAATAATGTCCACCTCAAATGCTATAAAGAGCAGTACACAGCTTTACCAATTGCTCTTGTTTGTGTTTTTGTTGTTGTTGTTGATGTTCGGCCACTTTACACAACTCACCTCCAAACACACACTGCGTCATCAAGGGAGTTGGGTCAGAGCGACATTGGGACACTCACTCTGCTGTGACCTAATAAGGTGATGGTGCTATACTTCAGACGCAAGGAATAACTTCCATTTTGGTTCAGGCCTTTTAAATCATAAATCACATTATCATTAGAAAATTGCTGTCAAAGTAACTTAACATGTAACAGCAAAATTACAAACAGTAAGTTTGATTTTTCACCTGTGTAGCTTTCAAAACTATGCACCTTCACTAAAGTTCCAGCCTTAACAGTTGTTTACAAAGTGAATTCTCTTCACAACAAACATTGTAAAATATTCCTTCTACATTTGTATTCCATAGACAGATTCACAAATCATGTCACATTCAGAAATAAGAGCCATCTGTATGTTAGTACCTTCACTTCCAGCTGGTTGAATATAAATTCAATCACAACATCATCTTCAAATCCAAGGATTTCAGTTACTCTTTTTGTTATCCAAGGCTTTATAACCTCCAAATTTACTTTGCTCATGTCCACCTGATGAAACATGCAAACCATTAAGTACAAGTTCACTGCAGTAAGAAAAATGTTTCGTTTAGCTTATGCACACTTAAAAAATTTTATCTAACATGCTCATTTTTTTGGGGGGGGGGGGTTGTACTGTGTATGTGGTGGCTAAAGGGCGACAACTGTGCAACTGTGAACTTTTTTTTTCCGCACAAGTTACAGTACATCTCCCAACGCTTAAAATGCAACGATTGCTGTAAAGGCAATAGTCCCACCCAGAATACCTTTTTTTCTAGGCATTCTGCAAATTTCAGCTGCTTGAGGAGTTTCTTCTGCTTGTTGCTGAATCGATTATCCTGCTCCGCACTTGTTCCCTGAAGGAAGCAAACACATGGCCTAAGAATACAAGATTAAAATTATCTTCTCTTTTTCAATTAAAAAACAGTGCACACGCAGATCTCTCTGAGTTCAAGGCCAGCCTGGTCTACAGGGTGGGTTCTAGGAGAGACAAGGCTACACAGAGAAACCCTGGCTCAAAAAACAAAACAAAACAGAAGGGTAGTGCACACATGCAGGGGTCAGAGGACGACTTTGGAGAGTGGCTCTCTCCTTCAACATGAAGATCCCAGGAACGGATCTCAGTTCATCAAGCTCGACAGCAGGTAACTTTACCTACCAAGTCATTTTGCCAGCCTTCTTTAAGAAAAATAAACTTACAACAAAAACTTAAGTTTCATTCTTTGGCCCAGGCCAGCCCCCAAACTAACAACAATCTTCCTTCCTGTCTCAGTTTCTCAAGTGACAGCTTGAATCACCATACTGGTAATGTTAAATGGTAGTGTTAAAATTTTTTTTCCTTAAGTAACATTCTCATTTACTTATTTTACTTAGTTATGTTTGCCTACCCTTCCCAGCTCCCACATCCAAGGATCTCACTATTCAGTACTGGCTGGCCTAGAACTCACTATATAGACCAGGATGGCCTCCAACTCACTGAGATCCACCAGCTTGGAGGAGTGCAGGGACTGAAGGCATGTGCCAATAACATGGCCTAATTCCTTCACTTTTAGGGTATATGTCTACCTCCCCACTGTGATTACACATTTCTTCTTACTTTGTTCATTTTACCACATTACAAAGCTCTTCTAGTTTTCTGGAATGTTTTATATTTGTCTGTATCTTGTCTACATTATGTCTAAGCCATCAATCCAGATCCAAAGTAAAAGGCTTTAATAGCAAATAAAGACTGTGACTTTTACAGTCAAAGATAAAGTAATCAAGCAAGTAGAAACACCATTAACTAAAATTCAGATGTAAGTTGTACGTTCCTTTCTAAAAGTAGTTGACAGATAAAGCATCTATATTTTAATATTAAAAAAATACATCCTGGGGCTGGAGAGATGGCTCAGCAGTTAAGAACAGTGGCTGCTCTTACAGAGGTCCTCCTGAGTTCGATTCCCAGCAGCCACATGGGTGGCTCACAGCCACCTGTAATGGAATCTGATTCCCTCTTCTGGTGTGCATGAAAACAGAATGTTCATATACATAAAATAAATAAATCTTTTAAAAAATACATCCTTAAAATAGCAGAGTAAGATACCCTCTCCACAATCAATGTTAAGTTTGACATGTATGCTTTTGCAGATCTGTTAATGTGATGGGCAACACCACATACAAGACTACCGTGCTAATAAGAGCATCCTTTAGGTTGCTACAACTTTAAGATTTTGAAGAGACAGAGGCAGAAGGATTGTGGCAAATTAGAGGTTAGTCTGCTATACATTATCAAGTTCCAGTCAACAACCCAAAATACTATCAAAAGACCAAAATTGGAGGATGGGGATCTATATTTCAGTGTCAAGAGTGTTTACCCACTCTGCCTTGGCTTTAATCCTAGCACAACAGAAATCAGGAATGGTGATGCCTGAATTCTAGTATACTAGGAATTTGGAAAGTCAGAAGTTCAAGGTCATCTTTAGTTCTACAGTTTGACAGAGATACAGGAAATTCAGTGTGTTGGAAGGGGTGTATGGCAAAATCAAAAAACATGGGGCACACCTATAATCCAAGCACTTAACAAAGACCAGAAGTTATCCTCAACTACATACTGATTTAGGGGTACCAATTCTGTCTCAGAGAAGAAGAGAAAAATGGGAAAGGGAGAGACAAAAGGAGGAATAGTGGGAGAGGGACAGAAAATATGAATTAATGAATTTAAAGCCAGGTGAGGTGGCGTACTCCTGTAATACTAAATTTAAGACAAGAGCGGAGGATCAGGGTTCAAGTCAGACTTGCAAATCTGTGGACAGCCTAGACTACAATTAGACCACGTCTGGAGAAAAACAAAGGAACAAACAAACAACAATTTTAAGTACATAAAAACCTAACTTCACCAAAGAACTCGGAGCAGTAAGGCATCACAGTTTTTTATTTCATCCTTCCTCTGGCTCAATTAAACACGGAAGTAACTGGTTCTGATCTGAACTCTACAGACTGGTTTGCTAACCGGCTTCGGCTCCTTGGAGAGTGATCAAGAAAGCTGTTTGGTGTGAGAATACCAACAGCAGAATGGCAAGAGCACTTAGCTGGCATGTACGGAGCCCTGAGTACAGTCCTTAGGACAACAAAGTTTTGGGTTGGGTATAGTGCCCCACACCTCTCTAATCCCAGCACTCAGGAGGCAGAGGCAGGAGGGTCTCTGAGTTGCAGACCAGCCTGGTCAATAGCCAGGGCTTCAGCACGAGACCCTGTCTTAAAACCTAAGTTATCTGATAAGGTAAAAAACCTGAGCTAGGTGATGCACACATCTTTAATTCCTGGTCTACCAAGTGAGTACAGCAACCAAGGCTACACAGAGAAACCCTGTCGGGGGGGGGGGGGGCTTGTAACAGCGTGTCAGTTCTGCTACTGCTCCACTATGTCTGAGAATATACAACCTTATCTCTAAGGATGTTTCCTCTCATGCAAAATTAGGGGCAATGAGCTGGCATGTGGAGCACACTTTCTATCCCAGTATTCAGGAGGCAGAGGCCGGGGACGGGGGAATCTCTGTGAGTTCCAGGACAGCCAGGGCTACAGGCAGAGAAACCCTCAGAAACTCACTTCCCCGATCAGAGGAAATAAGGCAACAAACAAAACAAAACCCACCAAAAACAAACAAAACAAAAACCCCAAGGCTGAATGTCTGGAGTGATAAGGCTGATTATCCTCATTTGATCATGACATGGCAAACGTGCTAAAATGCCACAACATAGACTTTATGTGTGACTAGTACATATCAGTTAGCAGACCAAACCTATTAAAGTCACCCGGAAAGTGATCCTGGCAGGCCATAGCTAAGTGGCACAAAACTTGGCTAGCACATACAAAGCCCTGAACATGGTCCATAGCTCTGCAAAGTTCTTAAAGAAAAAGTCTTTTAAGCTGGGTGCAGCGGCACACCCCTGTAATCCCAGCAGAGAGGCAGATGGATGGCCAGCCTGGTCTACAAAGTGAGTCTAGGAGAGCCAAGGCTACACTGAGAAACCCTGTCTTGAAAACAAAACAAACAAACAAAACAGAAAGGAAGGACGGAAGGAAGGCAGGGAGAAGAGTTTTGGGGCTGGGAGTGGTGGCCTACACCTTTAATCCTAATATTGGGGATAGGCAATCGTTAAAATTAGAGTCCAAAGACAGCCTGACTTGTGTATCAAGATCTTGTCAACTGCCTCCTCAAAAATAAAAACAGAAATTTACTGTGGCTGTTGTTCAGCAAATACCAGATACCATTTCTACCTTAAATGCAATTCTCTCAGATTTAGGTTGGCAGTGTACTAGAAAATTGATCTAAAATCTTTTAACTCAGGTCAAGTGTGTAGCATGGGTTAATGGGAGGCAGAGGCAGGTGGATCTCTGTGAGTTCCAGGATAGCCATGGCTACTACAGAGAAACCCTGTCTTAAAAAAGAAACAAAACAAAACAAACAAAAAAAAGAAAATGTAAAGAGTATAATTTTAAAAGCTGGATTCTTTTCCAGATTCTGTTTACTTCAAAGAAGCAGCTAATTTACTTTATTAGTGATAAAGTGACTAATTTACTTTATTCAATCTTCTTTCCACTAGAAATAATTGACAGGAGAGGTGACGGTGGTGCACCCTTTTAGTGCCAGCACTAGGCAGAGGCTGGCAGTTCTCTGAGTTCAAGGCTAGCCTGGTCTACAGGGTTCCAGGATAGCCAGGCCAACAGTGAGAAACCATGCCTCAAAAAAAAAAAAAAAAACAAAACAACCAAAAAAAAAAAACCATAAAAAAGGAGAGAGATTAGAAATAACTGGTAAAATAAACCTTTAATTGTTTTTAAGTGTAACTTCGGCGCCTTAAGAAACAATGAGTAGTCACTACTACAAAAGGTTAAACGCTTAGAATACTACTGTGGATGACTAATTTGTAGTGCAAAGATTTGGGGTGCTGGAGATAGAACCCAGAGTCTTGTTCAGGTTAGGCAAGCTCTCATAAACTACATACCCAGTCACAAGAGGCATCTTTATTAAACCCTCTTTCTTCCTTCCAATTCTTTTCTTTAAAAAAAAGAAAGAAAGAAAGGAAGGAAGAAAAAAAAAAAAGAAACCTCACACCAACAGCAAATTACACAGTCGATCTAGGGAATGCAAAACTAAGCCGAATTACAGTTAGCTGGGCCTTGGACTTTTACCAAGCAGTCTCTATATGGTTCTACCCTGCATTAAAAGAATCAGCAATCCCTGAAGGGGATCGTGGCTACTTTTAATCCCACAGAGTGTCGGTTCTCATCCATCTGGAGCCCGACCAGATTTCATTTCCTTCAAGAGTGGATGGCTCCCACCTAATAAACTGCCTTAGTGTGTGTGGGGATGCGTGTACCAACTCCAACAAGGAAACGTCCCCTGCCTGTGCTGGGCAAGGGTGCCGGCGAGGAGCGGAGTGGATTCGCACCGTAATCTGCCTCCGCCCTCGCACACACAGCTCGCCCCCCCACCCCCAGAGCCTCGGATTCAAATGTTCCAAGTACAGACTATCTGAGTTCCTCCCCGAAGAGCTATCAAATTGGGCGGGAGCGCTCACGAACTCTGACCCCGCGCCTCCGCGCGAGCTGAAGGCCCGGAGCGTGGACGCGGTACGTGGGGCCGCTGGCTTTCCCCGAAGCCGCCGCCAATAAAGGCCCCCTCCTCAAGGGCCTCTCTCGGTCGCACCCCAAAGCCGTGGCCCGCGCCCGCCTCAGGCTTCCCACCGGCCTCTCCCTAGGGACTTCCTCCTCCGGGCGCCGCTAGGCCGCAAGCCCCGGCGCCCGGCCCGCAAGGCCCGCTAGGCGGCCCGTGAGGTTCCGCTCCGGCCCATTCCCGCCGCCATTTTCCGGCCGCCGCCGCCGCGTAGGGGGGGACGATCCCGGAGGAGGAGACTGCGCAGAGGCGCACCGGTCTCGGCCGCAACGCCAAGGACCGGGCGCGCTGGCCGCAGGCCCCCTCGGGGTCTCTAAGGCCTCCCTCCACGGGCCGCCGGGGCCCGAGTTTGAGCCTCCTGTCGGGTCTTAACAAACAAGCCTCTCGCCTCCCTCCCGCCCCCAGCTCCCCGCGCTTCCACTTACGCGGAAGAATCCCGCGTCCATCTTGCTGCCTCGCTCGGAGATCGCTCCCTATCCCAGCGTGCACCGCGCCGCCGCGACGGAGGGCGGGACCGGCAGACGAGAGCCCAGCGCCGGGAGGCTGCGCGCGCCTCTACGCCCGCCCCCTCCGGCGGGCGTGCGGCTGCGCCTGCGCAGTACGCCGAGAGGCCGCCGCGCATGCGCAAGCGCTCCAGGGCGGCAGCCTTCCTCAATGGGGGGGGAGGCGAGTCCGGCGAGCGTGACCAATGGAAATGGGAGGACGAGCCCTTGGGTCTCCCCACCCCACACATCCTTTTGTGGCGCGTGATCAGCCGTGTGCGCGCTACTGGAGTTGGGCCTTCCTTCGACCCGTAGGCGGGGGGGGGGGGGGGAGGCCTCGGTCTTGGGGTAGGACGGGGAAGTTATGGAGGAGAAAGGTGTCCCGGGGGTGTTACTGGTGAGGCTGCCCGATGGCCAGGGCCCGCCACCTCCCGTGTTGTCGTTGTGAAAGTGAAGATATGGGTGGGCTTTAGGGGGTTGCCCGCGGGCTGGACCCTGGAGTGTCAGCACGAATGAAATCCGCGCGCTCGCCGGATGTGCGTCGCCTCTGGCTTGGGCTTGAGGTGGCCATTGGTTACCTTTCTGTACTTGAGCTGCGAAAGCTCGCCGAAGGGCAGGAAGTGGAAGAGAGCCAAGGCCGGCCCTCCAGCATGTCCATCAAGCGCTTTCTCCCCTTCTCAGGAAGCTTTCGGGAGCCACCTTGTATCGTTACCTCCTCCACAGACACGCTCCTCTTAGGCTTTTTCATGGATAAAAAAAAATGTGAAACTGCTATGTCTGCCCTCAAAGTGTCAGTGTAAACGTGCATATCTCCAGGCACTTTTTTTGCTTCCCACTTGGATACCCGTAGACATTGCAGACCAGACCTGACTAGGCCCATCTCTATCAAAATCACCAAAGCAAGCAAAACGGGGGGAGGGGCGCCAAGGAGGCTGCCTTCGATCCTTCTGACTGTGTAGATAGCAATCAATAGCTTTCCTTTGTTTAGGATAAATCTTGGTGTTGAGCATCCTCTTTCCTGCACATCCCACTTCCAAGCCATGAGGAAATCCACATGCCGCTATGATGAAAGCACAAGGTCCCTTTATCTGACTCGAATTCTTGCACTAGCTCTGTAACAGACACCCCTATTTCTGACCTTTCCACCCAGCATCCATTCCAAAGGAGGCCCGCTGACACTGCAGAAAACCGTAAGCACCTCTCTGTGAGTTCAAGGCTATCCTGGTCTGCAAGATTCTACTACACCAAAGGCTACACAGAGAAACCCATCTCGAAAAACAAAGTAGGCATTCTTCTGCTAAAAAGTCTCCAGTGGTTTCTCTCTCTCATCCCTTCAAAGGTCAGAATCGCCCTTTTTTTGATCCCTTCGGCCTCAGTCCCACTCACTGCTTGAATTTCCTAAGTTTGGCCCTGCTGTCCAAGTTTTAGCCCTGCCTCTGATCTTCATGAAACCTCTGACTGGGGTAGGCAACAACTAGGTAACTTGGCAATCTTCAAATTTCACTCAACTCTCCCTCAGAGAGGAGCCACAACACCCCCCCCCCCCAGCTTTTAGCACCTTCTAATACTTTTTTTTCACTTGTCCTTCAACCTTTTGTTTCTCATAAGGAATGATGCCACCTTCCTCCAATCATTCTTTTTATACTCCACAGCTGTCAAATCTTGACTTCTGCATCTCAATATTTAACAATGGGTTATGGTAGGGCAAGCCTGTAATCCCAGCACCAGGGAGACAGAGGGAGTCTGAGGATTCTGAGTTTGAAGCCATCCTGGGTGGGGGAAAAAACAAAAGAAAACAACACCCTGTCTAAAATGCTGGGCATGATGATGCAGGTCTTTAACCCTGGCAGTCAGGAAACAAATCTGTGAGTTCCAGGACACCCAGAGCTACATAGTAATACTTTGTTCCAAAAAAAAAAAAAAAAAAAAACCAACAAAAAAAAGACATACATACATACATACATACATATATTGTTTTTTTTAAGACAGGGTTTCTCTGTGGGGCACTAGCTGTCCTGCAACTCCCTCTATAGACCAGGCTGGCCTTGAACTCACAGAGATCTGCCTGCCTCTACCTCAGATGAGGGGATTAAAGGCGTGCACCACCACCACCCAGCCTAGCTATACTTTGTTAAGATTACTTTTATGTGTTTGGCTCTGCTACCTGCATGGATGTCTTTGTGCACTGCATGCGTGCAGTGTCCAAGAAGGACAACAGAGCATTGAATCTCCCAGAACTGAAGTTACAGACTGTTGTTAGTCACCTCTTGGATGCTGGGGACTGAACCTGGGTCCTCGCCAAGAGCTTAGTGTTCTTAGCCACCCAGCACCCCCGCCCCCAAGACAGGGTCTCATTGTATAGTTCAAGCTGTCCTGGGACTCACTATACAGACCAGGCTGGTCTCGAACGCAACAGAGGTCCACCAGCCTCTGGAATTAAAGGGAGAACCACCCCTGCTTGCCCTTGTGGCTTTAACGCTGGTCTTTTGGATTAAGGATCTGTGCAAAAACACATTAACGATTTTTCTTGCCTTCAGGGTTGATGTCTCACCCCAGCTGTAGCCAACCTGATTTTCTAAGATGAGTATCTGGATCCTGTCACTTTCCACTTAAAGCCCAAAGAGGCTTTCTATTGTCCTCCAGGTAAAGCCCAGACTGCTTACTGTGACAAAGCTCCTTCCTCCACCTTCACTCCACGGGTGTGTTCTTCCTCTTCACATCCCTCAGAGCTTTAGGCTGTAACATTTGAGCTATATCTCCAACGGCTTCTCCCACCTGCTCCCCCAGCCACTTCCCCACCCCCTCCCCACCCAGCCCTTGACTTTATGCTGTTCTAAACTACAGACTTTTGTCTGCTTTCAAACAGGTTAGACTTGAACTGGCAGGTTTTTAGCCTGTAAATCTGTCAGCCTCAGTGACTCGGAAGTAACTAAGGTGCTCCAGGCCAGCCAAGACGACTTAGTGAGTGCCTATCTCAAACAAAGAAAAAGCCACTTAGTTGTTATTTCTGTAGGTAACCCTTTTCTGACCAGCCATCCTAAAATGGCAGCTGCCCTTTCCATAACATTTTTTTACTGTCTTCTCTCTGTATTTCTTTTAATTTTCCTTGCTCTTTAATAGTGAGGCTTGAACTCAGGGCTCTGTGTAGTCAGACATTTAAACTACATCTTCAACCCATTTAAAAAATGTTTGCTTTTGAGTTGGGTGAGGTGTGCATGTCTTTATTCCCAGCCTTTTGGAGGCAGAGGCAAGTGGGTCCCTGTGAGTTTGAGAACAGCCAGACTATGTAGAGAAACCTTGTCTGAAATTAATAAATTAAGTTTGCTTATGAGATGGGGTGTCGGAGAGTTGCCCCTACTGACCAAACTTACTTTTTTATTTTAAGCCCAGTGAACATATGGAGCAGCACCTTAGCTTGTTGAGTGAATGTAGTTCTAGGCTGGCACCCCACATCTGGACTACTCCCCACATCTGCCTACATTCTCTCCCTCCCTGTCTGTAGGTCTAGGGATGTCACTCAGTGGTAGGGTGCTTGCCCTAGGTTCGATCTACAGCACCACAAATAAAGGTTAAAAAGGCTCGGTGAGCATCACCAAGGATCACGCGTAACTGGTTATCCCCAAACTTAAAACAATAAATTATCATCTCAAAGTTTCTGTGGGTCAGGAATCCAGAGTTGCTTAAGTAAATGGCTCTGGCTTAGGTCTCTCAGAACGTTGGATATGATCCACAGGGCTGTTGGCAAGCAGCCTCAGTTCCTTGCCCACAGTGTGCTGTCCCTGGGCTAACTTCATGACTTGGCAACATTAGAAAGATGCTTTCCTCCAGAGCAGGTGCTCCAAAAGAGAACACAAGTATGAAAGAAGCTCCAAAGACACATAGGCATAGTTTTTACACTGTCCTGTTAATTCTACTGATTACCCGTGTGCAGTAGGGAGAGGATTACGCAAGGGTATGAACCATAGCAGAGAAGAGCCAGGCATGGGCACATGCCTGTAATCACAGCCCCTTGGAAGACCCAGGTAGGAGGATTATGAGTTACAGGCTGGCCTGGACAACCTAGTAAGAGACTGTCATGAAACAAAATAATAAAAAAAAGGGGGGGGGGTTTCCTGTGGTGTTGAGAATAGTTTGTATCTTCTGCTCAGTGATGGACTATGCCCTCAGGACTTTAAACATATTCTCTCCCCTCAGTTTGAATCCACTGTTCCCTCCCAGCCTATGTTTCTCCTCTCTGCCTTGTTTCTTTTTTGTTTTTGGTTTTTTGTTGTTATTTTGAGACAGGGCTTCTCTGTGTATCCTGGCCATCCTAGAGCTCACTCTGTAGAGCAGGCTAGCCTTGAACTCAGATCCGCCTGCCTCTGCCAGGAATAAAGGTATGCACCACTATCACACTCTTTTTTTCTGTTACTTTCTTGTTTGTTGTCTTCTTATTTTTGTCCTATTTATTGTAACAGGGAGTCCTGTAACCCAGAGTGGCCATGGTTGATAATAACCTTGAACTCCAGACCCTCCTGTCTCTACCTTCCAACTGTTGGGATTCCAGGCCTCAGTGACTGTGCCTGGCAAATGTTACTGACCGACAGATTGGCTGACTGATTGTGGATTGAATGTGGGACCTGACACATGCTAAGCACATTCTCTTCCATGAGCTATATCCAGCCCTCACTCTGCCTT